CGCCACTACTTCTTGCAATGCAACCCCTGCAGCTATCGTCGCCTTATCGACCGTTGCCGTCACCATCGAAAACCACTACCAAGATAACGAACATAAATGTGTGGTGAATAAGTGAAATATGTTACTTCACTGAAAATCAAAAGCCTAAACGGTTCATCTATGGCATTTCATACAATACCCATAAGTAACAATCACTAAGAGCATTTCCAACCGAATGTCAAACATGCATATGGCATCATTCGGTCGCTCCAGCCGAACCCCAAATCTTCCACTATTTGCTTGTGGCAAATAGTGCGACGCCAATATTGGTGTTACATTGTTCACCAACGCAATTTTTGTGTTTCAACTGGATTTGCCGAAGAAATGCGCCAAGAGGAGAAAGACGGTTACCCTTCGCAGAAGCCCGCAAAATGGAGTTCGATTTGAGATGAATCACAGTATTTTTGAGTTTCACTATATTTTGGAGTTAAAAAAAGGGATTTTCGGTTGGAGATGCCCTAAAAACTCATTTTACTATTCCAGAGCATAACTCACATACACAATAATCAGATCAAATATCCAACTAAATAATAATCAACGCAATGGCTGTGTCAATTATTCATGCCTTAACAATTCAAAGCGAAACAAAAACTTTGTATCACCTACTTGTACTTTCAAGATTAATGTTTAGTACTGACTACAAACTACAGTAAATAATAAAATTCTCACTTCAGATTCCTGATAAAGGGGCGAAGCAGCATAACAAAAATATTCAAGCAACTTCTAAGAATTTGAATCGTCGACTAGCACCTGAGTCGCAATCAACGCAACGGCCTCCGTGTAATTGAGCCGGAGACCACGAGCAAGACGTTTCTGCGATAAGAAACCGGCGTTATGTAGTGCTAACTTCTCCCCTTCTCTGGGTACTAGCTTCATTTTTTAGGAAGGCGCCGCACAAGCTTGATGCGTAGATAAATTTCAGCGAGCAATTTAGAACATTGAACATCGAAACCGACAAAACAAAACCCTAGGGGCTGTTTCGCAACAAGTTTTTTTTTTTTTTTTTGGAAAAATTGGGGCGACGTTACTAAAATTTTCAGAGTCATAAATCCTGAAAATTATTAGATAAAAAAAAAGTTTTTGATAAATTTTGTGAGACGGTTGATAAACTCAGGATTTTAAGTTAGCTCATTAAAATTTTCAATTTAATTTCTATTTAAAATATAATTTGTATTTAAAAATGATATTTATTAATTTTTGTTTAGTTATCATCAATAAGTTAATATTATCAATAATGTAATTAGAAGTTAACTTGATTATCAAATAATCTAATTTATAATTTAGTTATTAATTTAAGTAATATTATCTAATTATTTATTTATAAGTTTTTCTTTTGCATGATAAATTACTTCAAATTTTTAGTCATGCGTCTTGAACATCCACTGTCCAGTTACCACATATTCTTACTTGGCTTTATGTAAGAGCACTCCTAAAAAGTCAATCAAAAGTTAGATTTGGGAACCCAAATAAGTTTGAGATTCACCTTATAATTTGATGAATGACTTGCATGCATGCTATGTTGTTGTGCAACTGATTTAGGCCTCCACAGTAAATGTGTCGTATGGTGTATCATGTAAGTGCGGTCTCATCAGACCTATCATGCCACAATAATAACACCTAACCCTGGGGAATATATTTACTAGTTTATGTTGAGGTTTGTGCCTCTTCTTAGGGGTATATGATGTATGTAGTGACATGGGGTACCATTGTGTCAATGTAGGTGGTGATTTATTATGTTGAAGTGCATGTATTTTTTCTTTTAGGAACTCGTTTGCAATTTCAAGACTTATAACTTCCAATTTTAATGAAAGCTCATTATGATATAATTCAGTAGCAAATGCTTCTAACTATTTGTATGAATATTCTAAATCAAGATACTTTGATTTTAAAGATTC